CCCCACCCCCGGTTTCCCCCCCGAACCCCACTGCCGCCGCCGCCGCCGCCGCCTCTGGGCGCGCCTGAGGAGCCCGAGCCCCCCCGGCACCACTCCGCGCCAGCAATAAGCGCAGAGGTCCTGACGTTGGTTCGGCCGCGGAAACCGGAAAAAAGAAAATCACTCCTCTTTGAAAAGCTGTTTAAGAGTTTGCGTGCAATTCCAAACCAGGGGTGCTGTCTGTGTGGAGTTTGCATGTTCTCCACACATTTGTGTGGGTTTCCTCCCACGGTCTAAAGACACGCTGGTGGGATAACTGTCTTCAGGGAAGGTCGGTCCAGGTGTGAGTGTGTGTGTCCGTGTGTGCCCTGTGACCGACTGGCACCTGGTCCAGGGTCCGTCCTGTCTTGCGCCGGTTGCTCCCAATTGCGTGCTCCTCCAGGACCCTGTACTGAATAAAGCTGCAGAAAAGTGGACGGGTGGATAACTGGTTAACGAGCTGCCATCAGTTTACATCCAGAATGTCCTGGTCTATCCCAGTAGTCAGCCTGGGCTTGAACCACTTGAGTTACTGTGGCACACTGAACAGCAAACAAGTCAATTGTATGGAAGCCCATTAGCACCACATAGAAAAAATATTTATTGGGTTGCACCACGATAATGCTATATTGCTGTACTGTACTACTTAAACCAAACAGTGCTGCTAACATGACACATTACCAGCACTCTGCTCATCCACTTCTCTTGAAGACAGTACACGTACTCCTTTAGACTAACTCACCTGCACAAAGAGGAGTGTGACTGTTGTTAATATCGATTCTGCTAATGGCACAATATTATTTCATATATATATATATCGTAAAATATGAATATATATTAGGCAGTTTACGAAGTACTTACCGCGTTTTAATACCGTCATCTCGTTTAAACTCAGTATCTTGATTAAACAAGATATTATGTAATTTTATTACTGTATGTCGTTTAAACGAAATAAGTACCACGAAACACCCTTTCTCCGTGGAGCTAATAGGCTTCCTCACAACTGGCGCAGTTCGCTCCAGTTGACAACGGGATGCTTCGGCGTGATTTTGACCGCGGCAGTGCTGCGGAGGCA